AGTACCTGTGATAGCTACAAAGAAGCAATACAGGGAGGAAGGCCTGAGAGGGAGAAAAATGTGCTAAAATGTAACATTTCTTGAAAAATTGGCTGACTGGAAATTATTGCTCCCAGGACATTAGTGATTCAAGGTTTTTGTGAGCCTAAGGACTTGGGTAGGGTAAGCACTCCAAATTGTATCCAAAAATAACATCTCTGTGTTTCTTTTTTAAATGGTTGGCTCATAATCAGATCTTTACAGACTTTATTAACATTCTCAAGTTTCCTTGTAGTGGATGAATTGATACATGTCAAAGCTGCTATGGGGCGTTTGAAATTCTCTGCAAAATTTAGCTTTGAATTGACAGTATTTGAGCGTATATTTGCCTGTTTCTGAATTTCACTAAACTTGGATATTGAAAAACAAACCAACATAATACTTTTTATAATCATTTCTTTCTATTCATCTTTAAGCACTGCATATGGTAACGATGACCAGAGACCATCTGATTAATGGTCTTGAATGCTTTCAAGTGCCTGAGCTAAACATACTATACAATTGGGTCATACGTTTAGTTATAGGTATATATAGGCAGCTACAGCCATCAGTGAAGCATATTCAGTTGTATAATAGCCATTGTTTGTGAATAAGAGGCAGACAAATTCATCTATACAAATATAATTTTCCCTAGAGCTAACCCTTCAGTTTCTCCTTTTTTTTTTTTTTTTTTTTTTTTTTGAGACAGAGTCTCACTGAGTTGCCTGGGCTAGACAGAGTGTCATGGCATCAGCCTAGCTCACAGCAACCTCAAACTCCTGGGCTCAAGTAATCCTCCTGCCTCAACCTCCCAGGTAGCTGGGACTACAGGCATGCGCCACCATGCCCAGCTAATTTTTTCTATATATTTTTAGTTGACCAATTAATTTCTTTCTATTTTTAGTAGAGACGGGGTCTCGCTCTTGCTCAGGCTGGTTTTGAACTCCTGACCTTGAGCAATCCTCCAACCTCGGCCTCCCAGAGTGTTAGGATTACAGGCGTGAGCCACCACGCCAAGCCTTGTTTAATTTTTCTAATTTAAACATTTTATTTAATGTTGTAGTTACTAACACAGTTATAAATGGTTTGCAAATATAAACTCATTTGATTTTCATGACAAACCTGTGAGGTGGACACTAACCTTATCCCCATTTTACAGTGGAACTGAGCAACAGAGAGGTTAAGTAACTTGCTCAAACATAAACTAGTAATTGGCTGAGCTGGGATTCATACCCAGGTGGTCTGCCTTTAGAAACTCTATTCTTAATCATTATGCTATGCTATCTTTACATGAACATGTTTTCATAAGCTATAGATACTGTACAGATATTAGTAGCACATATTATAATATTAGATCATTAAATATGAAATGCCTGATTTTGAATCAAAAAAGAAGCAGTACAATTAATCAAAATATGTGCCTAAACTATCAACACAGTTTTGCCATCTTAACAGTAGCTTGCTTATGCCAACAGCAAAGAAGCCTGGAGAGTAAGTGGCCATGAAATCATGAAAGGTATTTGCCATAGCTTTTTGAGATTTGAATATTTTTCCTTGCAAGAAGTGGTCCAAAGCCTGGAAGAAGTGATAGTCAGTTGGTACAAGATTTGGGGAATATGGTGGATGACAGACAGTTTCCAAGTCCAGCTTCTGTAGTTTGAGCAGCATTGTTTTTTGCAACGTGTGGTCTTGCAAGAGGATTGGCCTGCCTCTATTAACCAATCTTGGCTGCTTAATCGCAAGCATCCTTATCATTTCATCCAGTTGGTTGCAGTGGACCTCCGTTGTAATTGATTGACCAGGTTTCACAAAACTGTAGTGGATAATACCAGTGCTGGACCACCAAACAGACACCATCAGCTTTTTTTGATATATATGTGGTTTGAGACTGTGTTTTGGCACTTCATCCTCAGCTGACCATTGTGCCAAATGCTTGTGATTGTCCAAAATAATCCATTTTCATCACACATAACTATATGGTGTAGAAATGGTTCACCTTTATGTCATGACAGCAAAGAAAGGCAAGCTTTGAGATGATTTCTCTTCTGATGCTCATTTAATTCATGTGGTACCCATCTATCCAGCTTCTTTACCTTGCCCATTTGTTTCAGATGGTCCAATATTGTTGAAACACTGTGTTTCCCTGAAAATACGACAAGGTCTTATATTTATTTTTCCTCAAGAAGACACCCTAGGGCTTATTTTCAGGGAATGTGTTATTTTTTTAAAGTATGGTACAACAATTTACATTTATTCAAATATAGTTAAGTCATCTTCTTCTGGAACATCACCATAACTCTCCAAACCCCGAATTCCATCCTGAATTTATTGCTACTCTATTTCCTTTAGAACCATTGGCCCCAAACTCTCATGTCAAGCAATAGAGCTTTCATGGGGCAGATGAGAAGGGCTGCTTGTCTTCTTTACTGCTCCATGACAAAATGCATGGGTTGTGCAGATATGCTGTGTACCCACGCCCATCACTAGGTCTTATTTTCCGGGTAGGGCTTATATTGTACAAAGGCTTAGAAATCTTGCTAGGGCTTATTTTATGGGTAGGTCTTATTTTCCATGGAAACATGGTAGTAATGTCAAACCTTGCTGCTAATTTATGTGTAGGTTGAGATGGATTCGTTTCCACTACAGCTTTCATCTCATCATTATCCACCTTGGCCTCAGGTCACCCACATAATTCATTTTCAAGATTAAAATCAACAGAATGGGCTGGGCGTGGTGGCTCATACCTGTAATCTAGCACTCTGGGAGGCCTAGGTAGGTGGATCATTTAAGCTCAGGAGTTTGAGACCAGCCTGAGCAAAAGCAAGACCCCTATCTCTACTAACTACTAAAAATAGAAAAATTAGCCGGGCATGGTGGTGCATGCCTGTAGTCCCAGCTACTCGGGAGGCTGAGGCAGGAGGATTGCTTGAGCCCAGGAGTTTGAGGTTGCTGTGAGCTAGGCTGTTGCCACAGCACTCTAGCCCAAGCAACAAAGTGAGACTCTGTCTCAAAAAAAAATATTAAAAAATAAAAAATAAAATCACCAGAGTGGGACTTATAAAACCATTGATGTACTGTGCATTCATTAGCCGTATCCTTGCCAAACACTTTGTTGATACTTAAAGCTGTCTCTGCAGCATTGGTTCCATGATGGAACTCATATTCAAAAATAACATGAATTTTCAATTTATTCATGGTTTCACAAAAATTGCTCCAAAAAAATTTGAAAGATAATCACAAGCCAAAACATGCATTTGAAAGAATGAGAATCTGTGTACCTTCACAATAAAAAAATAAACAAGAAGTATCCAAGAGAAATATCAGAGATTTCAACTGTCAAACTTAGTACTTAAGGAAATCAGATATTTCATACTTAATAACCTAATATTAAGTGTAGACACTTTACTAGATGTTATAGGAAATACAAGTGAATCGTAAATTTGCATTTGAAGATTTTATAATATGGTTGGGAGGAGAAGTATGACATAGAAAATGCAATAATACTGCAGCCTGTAAGATCGTTGTCTACCAGAGAACTCACCACACCTAGCAAAATATACACTTTTTTTTTTATTGAGACAGCCTCTTACTCTATTGCCTGTGCTGGAGTGCAGTGGCATGATCACAGCTTACTCACTGCAGCCTCAAACTTCTGGGCTCAAGTGATGCTCCTGCTTCAGCCTCCTGAATAGCTGAGACTACAGGTGCATGCTACCACACCCAACTAAATTTTCTTTTAATGCTTTAAAATTTTTTGTAGAAGTGAGGGCTTGTTACGTTGCCCAGGCTGGCCTCAAGCAATCCTCACACCTTGGCCTCCCAAAGCACTGGGATTACAGGTGTGTGCCACCACACCCAGCCTATTTTTTTTTTTTTTGATGCTCCATACAGAGCATAAAGTCTATTGTATAAAAGAGATGTAACTTGGCCGGGCGCGGTGGCTCCCACCTGTAATCCTAGCACTCAAGGGGGGGGCTGAGGCGGCAGATTGATTGAGGTCAGGAGTTTGAAACCAGCCTGAGCAAGAGCGAGACCCTGTCTCTACTATAAATAGAAAGAAATTAATTGGCCAACTAGTATATATAGAAAAAATGAGCCGGGCATGGTGGCACATGCCTGTAGTCCCAGCTACTCGGGAGGAGGCTGAGGCAGGAGGATCGCTTGAGCCCAGGAGTTTGAGGTTGCTGTGAGCTAGGCTGACGCCATGGCACTCACTCTAGCCTGGGCAACAAAGTGAGACTCTGTCTCAAAAAAAAAAAAAAAAAAGATGTAAGTAATGTTAGTTGCATGTAGGTAACCTTAAATAATAATATTCCCATTATCACAGTAAGCAGATCTGGGTTATTATTTACACAGAGAGAATTCCTCATTTTACTTTCTGTGCCATGTACTGGGTTTACTTGGGTAACCAGTATCTTTAAACTTTTTATTTTTGAAATAATTTTGCATTTACAGAATTGTTATAAGAATAGTACAAAGAACTTCTATGTCCTTTACCCAGATTCTCCAAATGTTAATATTTACTCTGTCATTCTCTCTTTTTCCTTACAATATATTCAATATATATAACATGTACAATGTAAGATATATAAAATTATTATTTTTCTGAGCTATTTGAAAATAAGTTGCAGGTATGATTCCACTTTGCCTTTAAACATGTCAGTATGTATTTCTTCCCTCCCCCTAAAAAGGATAGTCTCTTAAAATAGGAAATTGCTTTGGTACAATACTTTAATCTACAGAACTTATTCAAACTTCACCAATTAACGTAATAATATCCTTTAGAGCAACACAAAAAAATGTTAACTGCCCATGTTTTAAACATTATGATATGTGCTGTGTAACACTCATCATGGCTCTTCTCTCATCTCAATCTTGTACTTGGTTCCAAGAGCAGTGTGAGCAGGTGCCCTGTCCCTTGACTTAGTCATGCAGCCAGGGCAAATGGCTTTATTTGATTTTCTTTCTTTTGTATGATTCAGTGGAACAGCGTGACTTCATTGGAGTGGACAGCACAGGGAAGAGGCTGCTCTTCATGGCTAATGAAGCGGACTTGGATGAAGAGCTGGTCATTAAGGGATCTATCCTACAGAAGTAAGCCCTAGGGTTTTTCTTCTGGCATTTCTCCTTGTCTTAAAACTAAATAAAACCACCCAGTGGGTGGGAAAGAGGGAATGAAGACTAGTTTGTACTGTGTGAAATTGACAAAAGTATGTGAATATTTTTCCCATGAGACAGGAAGAAGGCTTTTCTTCACTGCATAAGCTTATGTTTCCCTGTCTTTTCTTGCCAAGGTAAAGCCAAATCCTGCATAGGAGTGGGGCAAAGCAGCTGTGGGGAGAACAGGACTGTCTTTCTGACAGTGTTACAGAACCTCCTTTTTCAAAAAAATTGTGGTAAAAAAACATAAAATTTACTATCTTAACCATTTGAAAAATTTTATTTGTATAAATTTAAGGGATACAAGTGCAGTTTTGTTACATGCATATATTGTTTATTGGTAAAGTCTGGGCTTTTAGAGTAACCATCACCCACATAATATACATTGTATCCATTAAGTAATTTCCTAGCCCTCACCCCCTCCCACCCTTCCAAGTCTCTGGTGTCAGAGATTATTCCACACTCTGTGTCTGTGTGTATACATTATTTAGTTTTTACTCATAAGTGAGAACATGTGATATTTGACTATCTGTTTCTGAGTTGTTTCACTTACATCTTAACCTTTTTTTTTTTTTTGAGACAGAGTCACGCTTTGTTGCCCAGGCTAGAGTGAGTGCCATGGCATCAGCCTAGCTCACAGCAACCTCAAACTCCTGGGCTCAAGCAATCCTGCTGCCTCAGCCTCCCATGTAGCTGGGACTACAGGCATGTGCCACCATGCCCGGCTTATTTTTTCTATATATACTAGTTGGCCAATTAATTTCTTTCTATTTATAGTAGAGACGGGATCTCACTCTTGCTCAGGCTGGTTTTGAACTCCTGACCTCAAGCAATCCGCCCGCCTCGGCCTCCCAGAGTGCTGGGATTACAGGCGTGAGCCACCTCGCCTGGCCCATCTTAACCTTTTTTAAATGAACAGTTCAGTAGTGTTAAATATATTGACATTGTGGTGAAACAGATCTTCAGAACTTTTTCATCTTGTAAATCTGACACTCTATACCCATTAAACAACAATTCCCCTTTTCCCCCTTTCCACAATCCCCTGCTAACTAATCAACATTCTACTTCCTGTTTCTATCCATTTGACTACTTTAGATATCTCATGTAAGTGCAGTCATACAGTATTTATCTCTTTGTGAGTGGCTTATTTTACTTAGCATAATATCCTCAAGGTTTATCCATGTAGCATTTGACAGGATTTCCTTTTTTTTTAAAGGCCAAATAATATTCAGTTATATGTATATGCCACATTTTGTTCATCTATTAACAGACATTTGGGTTGCTTCCACCTCTTGGCTATTGTGAATAGTGCTGCAATACACATGGGTATGCAGTTATCTCTTCGAGACCTTGCTTGTAACTCTTTTGGATATATACCCAGAAGTGGGATTCCTGGTTCAGATGGTACTTCTATGCTTAATTTTTCAAGGAACCTCCATACTGTTTTCCATAACAGTTGCACCATTTTATAATCCCACCAACAGTGTACAAGGGTTCCAGTTTCTCTACACCAGCACTCAAATGGTAGCTTGCCTCAGATACAGGAGAATAAGAGAGAATAATGTATATGTATTATATCAGAACAAATAAAACATCTGAGCATAGCCATGATTCAAGCATAAAAAAGACCAAAAGAATCAATGTGTCAACTGTACAAACATACTACAGCAAACAAAATGAAAGCAAGAAAAATGCCCTGTAAAAGACAAAGAACCTATCCTGGAAAAAATGGAACTCAAGAAATTTAAGTTATTTCCTTAAAACTATACAACTCTACAACTATAAAACAACTCACTAAAACATGAATTTAATAAATAAGAGTTCAGTAATGAGAAGCTGAAACAACATAAATAGATAAAAGAGGATATTATAGAACTAAAAAAAATTGAGGACCAAATAATTACAGAATTAATCAATTTAAAAGTAGCAAAGAACAGAATAGGTACCACTGAAAATCAAATTATTGACATAGAAGAATGGTTTATGATATTCAGTGGTTTAGATTAAAAAAATGGTTAAGGAAATTAGAATCTTGCAAGATGTCTGTAATGAATGGCAAAAAAAGAGGAAAAAAGAGGAAATTGAATCTAATAGAAATGAAAGACATGTCTCTGAGGTAGAAAACATTGCTAATATGGACTTCCAGGAAAAAAGAACAGAGAAATGAAGGGGAAAGAAATCATCAGTGAAATGATTTAAAAAAAAAAATTCTCAGAATGAAAGGAGCTGAGTTTCTAGACTGAAAGGAAACTGAGTACCCAGCACAGTGGATGAAAAGAAACATATCAAGGTTGTCATTGTGAAATTTTGTAACTCTGATGACAAAGAGAACTCACAGGCTCTCAGAATAGAGGGGGTATATCTTATACAAAGGAATGAAAATAGCTTTGAACTTATTAACAGCAACACTGGAAACTTTAAACAAGTCCCTTTAAAATTCTTAAATCTGTATCTAGTCAAACTATCAGTCAAGTGTGAGATAGAATGAGAACTTTTCAGACATTTGCTTTCCATACATCTGTTTTAAGAAAGCTACTACAGGATGTATAACACCAAAACCCTGACATAAACTTCAAAGACATAGGATATAGGGAAAAGGTCATCCAATTAAGAGATAAAATGAATCCCCAGAAAGTGATGAAGGGAGAAGGATAACACGTCTTCACCCAGTATAGATGACAGCCAGAGAAGTTGGAATAGGTCAGAAAGCTTTGATCAGGGTGATTATATTTCTTCTGATGAACATGATAATACTTGATGTGTCTCAACATTCTGAAGGGACTTACAGCACTTGGTGGTTAGTTTGGAGTTGAATTATTGATAAGCACCTAGAAAACTAAGAAACAATAAGACTGTTAATGCCAAGACAAGCAACAAAAATGTACAGGGAAAAAAATTATCAGCCACTGAATGGTTCAGCTGTAACTAATGTTTATATATGCATAATGATGCAATGACTCTATCTAACCAAAATTATGATATAATTACATTGGAATGATGGGAGGAGGCATGAAGGAAGAAAAGACAGATAAATCTTCCTCTTCCATAGTTAATAGCTAATACCTAGAGCTGCAGTCACAATAACTTAAGCATTGATTATTGAGCTACCCAAAATAATAATTATATTGGTTCAAGATTGCGGTGCCGGCAAAAAAGAAAAAATAAAAAAAATAATAATAATAATAATTATATTGGGAAGGTAGAACGTATAGGAAGTGTGGGTGTATAAAGTGGGAGCAAGGTTGGTAATGAAAGAAACTTAAATCCTATCTTCCACAGTGGGAAATCAGATAATTCCTGAAATGGAAAACCCAAGAAATATCAATCTAAGAGAGTTATTGGTAGATATAAATACTAAATGGATCTGCATAGTTGAAAGTGGGTGTGTTTAGCGAATGGGTAGGAAAGGGAATAGATGACTGAACTTTTCAGTATAAGTCTTGAGAAACTATTTGCCTCTTTATGTGCATATATAACTTCAATTTTAATGTTTAAAAATAAAAATAAGATATAATAAAATTTCCTGAATCAAATAAAATCACAGATATTAAGAATATAGTGTATTCCAAGAAAATTTGCCCAGATATAGCCTAATAAACATACTAAGTTGCATGAATAAAGAAAGAATTCTTTGCTGGGCGTGGTGGCTCACGCCTGTAATCTAAGACTCTCGGTGGCCAAGGCAGGTGGCTCGTTTGAGCTCAGGAGTTTGAGACCAGCCTGAGCAAGAGCAGTACCCCATCTGTACTAAAAATAGAAAGAAATTAGCTGCACAACTAAAAATATATAGAAAAAATTAGCTGGGCATGGTGGTGAGTGCCTGTAGTCCAAGCTACTCGGGAGGCTGAGGCAGGAGGATCACTTGAGCCCAGGAGTTTGAGGTTACACTGAGCTATGATCAGGCCACTGCACACTCCAGCCTGCATAACAAAGCAAGACCCTGTCTCTAAAAAACAAATAAATAAAAAACCTTTTTAAAAATCACAAGTTAAGTGTGAGGAGAAGAAGAAACTAGGCCAGTGAGAATAGGTATTAATAGCCTCATCTTTTGTAGTAGGAAGTTAAAAAAAAATTAACAAACCTTAAAAAAGTATATCATAATAACTCCAACTTCTTAATATTTTGTTCTTAAAATGTGTTTGTAAACAAGTAGGCCGGGCACGGTGGCTCACGCCTGTAATCCTAGCTCTCTGGGAGGCCGAGGTAGGTGGATTGCTCGAGGTCAGGAGTTCGAAACCAGCCTGAGCAAGAGCGAGACCCCGTCTCTACTATAAATAGAAAGAAATTAATTGGCCAACTAATATATATAGAAAAAATTAGCCGGGCATGGTGGTGCATGCCTGTAGTCCCTCCTCGGGAGGCTGAGGCAGGATTGCTTGAGCCCAGGAGTTTGAGGTTGCTATGAGCTAGGCTGATGCCACGGCACTCACTCAAACCTGAGCAACAAAGCGAGACTCTGTCTCAAAAAAAAAAAAAAAAAAAGACTGCAGCTTCTTTCTTTGATGCCCACTCAACACTCTCACACCCTCTCTCTCACTCTGGGGAAGACACCCTGCTAGGTCATGGCAAAACTCTGGGGAAAGGAAAGCTAGCACCATGCCATGAGGACACTCAGGCAGGCTGTGGAGGAGCCCATGTGGTGAGGAACTGAGGCCTGCCAGGAACCACGTGAGTGAGGTTAGAAACAAGATATTCTAAGGCCTATCAACAGTCATGTTGAAAGCAGCTCTTCTGGCCGGGCGCGGTGGCTCATGCCTATAATCCTAGCACTCTGAGAGACTGAGGTGGGCAGATTGCTCAAGGTCAGGAGTTCGAAACCAGCCTGAGCAAGAGCAAGACCCCGTCTCTACTATAAATAGAAAGAAATTAATTGGCCAACTAATATATATAGAAAAAATTAGCCGGGCATGCTGGCGCATGCCTGTATTCTCAGC